AAAGGCATCTAATACACTTAAAGAGTAGAGCAGCAAACTCACCAGTGACTTGAGTAAAAAGGTCAAGGACACTGGGGTGGGGGCAATGATTTACAGTGTCCACTGCCTCCTCTGTCCAACCCGAGCGGCAGGAACTAAGAAAACCAGAGAAGGGTGCATCCTCCCTGCCTCGAGGTTCCTGCCTTCTTCCACAAGGATCCTCCTGCCCTGTGTGAGCCCTGGCAGTCTGAACCAACTTGGCCATGAGAGAGACAGGAATGGACTCCTGCTCTCTGTCATGCTCCAATCAACTCTTCTGTTTTTTTTCACGTCTGGGTTGCTACTCCTTGCAATTTCCAACATTTATCTGTTATGTTTTAATAAGATATATACAGGTATAATCATTTCTAAATCAGTGAGAGCTTGCATCCTTCATCTCCTTTCCTAGAACAGTGAGCACACTACCCTGAAAATGGATTTGCAGGACCAGTGAAGGTTAAGGATTCTGGTGCAGACCTGTGCATTCCATCCAGGCTCTACTAATTTATGGAGTAAGACTGGAAGCAAGTTCTTCAACCTCTTGGTGTCTCTTTCCTCATAAGTCAGATGAAAATAATAATTATTATTTCCTATGACTAATGAGGATTTAAAAAACACCAGTTGCATATGCATATGTATATGTACATAAAAATAGTTAAAATAGTTATACTACTCATTTCTCTGACTTCACCAAAGAGAAAAATTTGTGCTAGTATTGTTCAGACAGTTGTAAGCAGATATCTTGTGATCTGGGTGAATGATTCGGGGATGACAATGCACTATGTATGTACCATTATTGTTCCCTGATTGACATATTTTCAAATTTTTAGGGGTTTCTTTTTTTCTTCTTTTTTTCCCTTGTAATAAAACAGATTTGAAGAAATAAATAAATAAATGCAATTCACTGGCAAAAATTTTTAAAATAGAATACAATTCTGTAGCCAGAAAAAAAAGGGAACACCAGTTGCTCAATTAGCAGACACTGTTCAGCTACTTGTAAAGTGGGCTTTGTTTGGCATGAAATCTGCATAATCATCTCTACTCACACCCAAATCCTTTCATAAAGCAGTAAAGAACTTCCCCCCCAGAGGATTTTCTCTGATCAGGATAGCAACCCTGATCCTGGCCTTACCAGCCATTAACACTACTGTGGTTGAGCTGACAAGAAAAACTCTTCCACTTCTATTCCATCCCTTTTTTGCATCTTTATTCAAGTAAAGTACTCTTCTGTGGGTCCTGTGGCTGAGCATCTTGTGAGCCACCAACTGAGGCTTCTATTTGGGTACTTGAGTTTTGTGCGGTGTCAAGCACTTAATTTATTTATCCACACATGTTCATAACTGTAGCTCTTTCAGGAACCTGCCAAGATTCTTAGGTGACACCAGGGCATGCTACTGACCAGAATCTGTGTGATCATCCTGGGTGTGCTCCCAGATTCTCTCCCTAGCAGCCTGCCTGATGACATCCAATGGTCCTCTGGGTTGTGGCTTCCACATGATTACAATTCATTCTTTTATGACTTCATTGCGTCGTGCTTATCCTACCCTGTTAACAGCCACATGAATCTCTCATTACTTGTTTTCTTTGGCTCCTTTGGGCAGCAGACCCTCAGGCTGCTGCTCCAGAGGGCTCCACAGGACACCACTGAGGAGGAGAGCGTGAAGGTAGCGCTCCATCAGGGTCTCTGGATACATGGGAGCAGAAGGGAGCAGCGGTAAAGAGCTTCCTCCAGCTTCATCACATGTGGCTTTGTGGTGTCTGCCGCTGCACTGCCCTTAACAGTTATCTGCTTTTCTCTCTGCCTCATGCCTTGTAACTGTCACGGTAATTTGTCAGTCACATTACACAGTTTATTTCAATCTGGTGTTTTTGGACTTTCTGGAGAAAAGATTCATCTGAAAAGAGAATACCTATATTCCTTTACACACACACACACACACACACACACACACACACACACACACACACACTTCTTATATTAACTCCTCTAAATTTTTTCTTACTCTGCACATTTTACTTTGAGTATCACAACCCTGAAAACAATCCCTACCCAAGCCACAAATCGTGCTTATAATTTTCCTGTACATAATAGATAATGTAAAGAAAGGCTATCTTTTTCCCGGGCTATGTTCCCATGAGAACTATATTCTGTTCTTACTGGAGCGTTGGTGGAAGTAAAATCTATTTCATTAGATCATCAGGTCTTTTGGAAAATATTGTCTTTAAAGACAATTTATCTGTCTGCATATGAACAATCCAGTGGTTTACAAAATGTTCTCTACAGACATTTGTTCCTGGTGTGACAACAAGCTGGCCTTGGACTCTGATATTCAAAAGCATGGACTTTACCCTTGAAAATTACTCTTTATTAACTCTTATCCAGACCAACATAAAATCTAGAAAAGCATGAGAATGATACCTCTTTGACATTGTTATCTCAACACTGATTTCAAAGTACAAAGTATTTGTGGAACCCATTTATTAATATTGCATACATTTATTACAGTTTGGAACGCAGTGTGAGCCTCAAAATTTTGCACTAATTGTTATGGTCATATGACTGTCCTTCAGTCCTCAATAGATAAGAAGACTTCCATTTTTATCTACCTCTCATCTCCTGCTCATGAGGACTGGTTACACACTGGATCTTTTACATATTGATGTCCTTAAAAATAACCTTTCTGCCTGCATAGCAGTTCTAATGGGGAGCAAAATTAAAAACAACTGGTACTTCTGTAATCATGTTGATTATATTGGTAAAACCTAAAGGCTGAGGCTACCTCTCAGCTAGCTTTTCCTTAGAGGGGAAATCTGACAAGGGAAATCTAAATATACAGAACACCATAAAAATACAACTACATAAATGTTGACATCCATAGTTGACAATTTCCTCAAACAAATACACTGACTGCATTTATAACGTGGTTCAGTACACAGAACTTTAGTTCCATGACTCCAGATCCAGTGATATACCCAACCAAGCACTCTGATGATTCTATATCCTACAAGTACCACTTGATTACCACACACCACAGTAGAGTTTGGATATAGATGAGGGTTTCCTACAGGCAGGAGGAAACAAATAACAGTGCTTGTCACATATACCCAAGCAGAGTGCTTTACTGTGATGTTATCAGCTCAGCCTGATATTATAATGAAAGTTGGGACTCATAATTTCCTCAGTTAGACAGCTTCAACTAAAGATCTTTTTCCTCATGAGAAGACCTGTGCAGAAATCCCAAGATGGAAAAAGGGGGATGATTCATCTATAAATTTATTCAACATTTTCATCCTCATGCAAAAATTTCACTCAAAATATTTTAGCACTTTCATATGAAAGATGTACTGATAGTTGTACAATCAGGTATTAGAAACATTGTTATTAAATTTAAAGAAAAAGGTAATATATGCTTAGTGTCATGAAAAGTGATGTGAGCATTTACCATATTATTGTGTGGCCTAATTACCTAGTTCACAAATTTCCCCACCAAGAACCCTGTCCTCAATTGTGGTAAATCCAATATCCAACTATGGTTGATCCAACACCCTAACTTGTCCAAATCTACAACAGAGGCCCCAGTGCTGGGCCACAGCCTGGTCCAAGGCCATGGCCTATTAGAAACTGAGCCACATTGCAGGAGGTAAGTAGGGAATAAGCACAACATCCAACTGTATTTACAGCTGTTCTTCATCACTTGTTTGCTGCCTGAGCCCCACCTTCTTTCAAATCAGCAGTGACATTAGATTCTTAGGGATCCAGGTTGCACGCTTCTTCTGAAAACCTGGTGCCTGGTGATTTCTGAGATAGAGCTGAGGTGGTGATGCTAGTGCTGGGGAATGTAATTATTATCTATCACACACATACACTGGTAAAGCTAACAGAAATGTAAAACATTGTTTTTAAACATTGATCACTGTCTTGCACTCTTTTAGTAAACCCCCAAGCCCACAGAAAAGTCATCTCTCATGAAACTACTCCTTGATACCAAGAGATTGAGGGCTACCAATCTACTTCTTCCTTTAATCTTGTCATCTACTCCATTCTAGTCACCCAGTCCTGCATCTCGTCATCAACACATTGGTATGACCATGAAAGTCACAGATTCAAGGTTATCTCAACCAAACTTTCATCTGTACAACCACACTTCCTACAATTTCAGCTCAAGTGCTTTCCCCACTCTATCCACAGTGATTTCAGTCTACTGACCTTCAGTGTCACTGACCTTCAGTTCCCACCCTTGCCACATTTAAGGTCCACAAACTCTTGCTATGATCACTGCCTTGCACTCATTTTCCACCTGCGTGCCACACACTTACAATGCCAATTTGTCACCCACATGCCATCAGCCAAACTCACCTGACTTTCCCCCTGACTGTTTATATGGTTCAATGCACCTAGAGTGTTTCCCAATTTCTGTTCATCCTATGGGGTTTGTAGACTTATGTATTTCTTAACACAAATTAATCAAGCATAGAAATAAAAATTCACATTCAAACCTAAAGTCTTAACTAATAAAAGATTCAGAGATAAAAACTCAAACAAGTTGTTGCTTCTAGAGAATAGAGTTTTAGCAGACATTTGCATTTTATTTGATATGTTTCCATACCATCTAGAAATAAATTGTAAACAAGCACACACTACTGCATTGGCAAAAAGAGGAGTCAGATCATAAAGAGCCTTACACAACAACATGTGCTCTGTTCTTAGAAAATTTCCCAGCACAGCTCACATTTCTTGGCATTAAAGGTCAGCAAGAAGCCCCAGAATAGCAGTCACACAGAGAAAAAAATGCCAAGATGAGGTGGGGATGGACAGAGGCTGAGGGATAGGAGTAGCATCAACCAAATGAGAAACATTTCATGAGGAACATGACTTAATAGACTGCACACTCTCATTGGCTAGCACAGAAAACCACAGGGCTGTCCAGCATCTTGATAAGGCTCATGTACATGAAAAACTTTCTTACAGCTGCTGAAAGCAATTCTCCATGACAGAGGTACACGTCCTTTACCACTTTCAATCCCAGGAGTTTCTTCCTTCAACACCGCCTGGCTTTCCATATCCAGCAAGAAGAATAAAGAAAAGGTAAGATTTTATCCAAAACTTATCCTCAGAACTACTGTTGTCCTTCTACTCAGTCCATACACACTTAACCCCACACTGCGGTGAAGTGCTGTGCTCAGAGAATCTTAGGAGCTATGAAATAAAACAACAGACTTGAAGATGCTGTTTGTAACTTTAGGCTGGCAAGCTTAACAATGTGGGATTTAGAGCTTATAACCAAGACTGACAATCAGGATCCATCCATTTTTTAACATGTTTGCAATACATAAAGATTACATTCATCATGAGTAGCAGGTACACATACCTAACACATATTAATTATTTTTCATTTCCTTTCCTTCCTCTCCCACCCACCTTAATCAATCTCTTGGTTGATTGAAAAAGATTTACCTTTCTGTTTCCTGTTATATATCTTTTATTTTGCCTTTTATTTATCCTTTGTATTTCTTGTATGAAACAGACCGTAAAACATATAAGTTTGTGTGTATGACTTATTTCATTTAATGTTATGGTCTCTGCAGGTTTTTTTATACTGGGGATTGAACTAACAACCTTCTGCTTGCCAGATGGGCACTTACACCACTGAGCTAAATCTCCAGCCCTAAACATTATAGTCTCAAGATGCATCAATTTTCTGACAAATGATTCAAGTGTATCCTTTGTGGCAGAGTAGTCTCCATTGTGTATAAAAACCACATTTTCTTTATCCATTCATCTGATGATGGAGATAGAGGCCACATTCAAGATTTAGCTATTATTAGTACAGCTGCTGTAAACCTGTATGTATGTAACACTCTAACAGGTCTCTAATTCTTTCAGAAAGATAAAAGGCTAAAAGGGAAAGATCTAGGTTGAATGGAATTTCTAGCTTTAGTTTTTTGAATAGTCTCTATACTGATTTCAATAGTGATTGTACAAATTTATATTCACATCAGTAGTGTAAAGGGTTCCTTTTTCTCCCCTGCTTTATCAGGATTTGTTATTATTTTATTACTTTAGTATAAGTCATTCTCATCAGCATGAGACAGAAGCTCAGAGTTGTTACCTTTGCTTTTCTCTAATGGCCTGAGATGTTGAATTTTTTGTATAATGATTGGCCATTTCACTTCTGAGAAATGCCCATTTATTTCACTTCAGATATTTTACTGGATCTCTTATTTGGACAGTCTAGTATTTTTCAAATCTTTATATCTACATATTAGTACTTTGTACTAAGAATAGATGCAAATATTTTTCACATTCCATAGATGATCTTTTCATTTGGTTGGTTCTTTCCTATGTTATGTAGAACCATTGTAAATTCAGATGATCCCTCTTGTTGATTCTTGGTATTATTTCTTGTGCAGTTCAGGTTTTGTAAAGCCTTGGTTATGACTATGTCTTTAAGAGTTTTATCTATTTCATCTTCAGATGATTAAGTGTTACTGTTTTAATAAGTAAATCATTGGTCCATTTTGATTTTAATTGAATACATGGGGAAAGATAGGGGTCGGCATTCAAATTTCTGCATGTGGATAACCAGGTTTCCTAGCACTATTTGTTAATCTTTCCTACACTGCAAGTTCTTGTCAAAGATCGGGTAGCTGAGTGTGCCTGCAATTTTTTTTTTAGTTTCATTTAAAGAAAGACTAAACCAAACTTAAAATAGGTAGAAGTAATATATATGTTCAGAGAAAAAAATAAACAGTAAGAAATCACTAGTCGATGTTTACATACTGTCATTTTACAAAGAGTTGTTCAAGATACAAAAATGGAACATGTAAAGTGGGAATTCCATCAGAGAGACTGCAAACAATTCTGTTCAACTGTCCAACAAAAACTTAGTAACATGGTTGTCAATCCCAAACTTAGTAACATGGTATGTCAATACATTTAAACATACATGCAGTTATCCATACCTACATTTACATTTAGATTAAACAAAATAAAGCAAGTTAAAATCATTCTAAACAAAGAATAATAGTATTGCTGGATTTCACATCATGACACTCCATGATTAGCATTGGGTACGGTAGTGTCTGTTTTTTTTAATTTAATTTAAAGAAAGAATTTTAAAAAAACAGCAAACAGAAATAACACATAATTTCAAAGAAAAAAATAAACAGTAAGAAATCACTAGTTGATGATTACAGATTGTCTTCTTACAAATAGTTATCCAAGATACTGAAGTGGAGCATATAAAGTGGGGATTCAAACAGTGAGTTTGCAACCAGTTCTGTTCAACTATCCAACAAAAACTTAGAACTATGGTTATCAATCCTAAACACTTAAATATACATGCATTTATCAATATCTTCAATTATGTTGACATTGAATACACCCAAGCAGGCTAATATCACTCTGAACAAAGAATAATACTATTGCTAGGTTTCACATTATGACACTCCAGGATCAACACTGAGTATTTTAGTGTCTCTTTTTCTTTTGAGTATCTGTTCATTTCATCATGTGTCATAAGATCTGTTCTCATAAACTGTTTATAGACTATACACATATATGAGTCTTAACATGTATTTCTATTCTTTCTATATTAGAGGGAGAAACAAAACAAAGCAAGACAAAACAAAACATACTCCTATAAACACATGATATGAAAAAAACATGTAAGACCGTTGTACAAAGAGTTCTACCATGGTTCCTGTGTTGTCTCTTGTTATTTCCAATAGAATTGGCTATATCATCAGACATAGTATAATTGTATATATCAGTACACAACAGTATTAATAAAAACACAACTTTGTATATAGTATAGAACTTCAAAAATTGGCAGTTATCAAACCACAATTTGTATCGTAGAGTCTTGTCATCTTCAGTGTAGTTGTCTATACTCTCAGACTTGATACTATCAATCATATCAGTTTTAAATAAAATCTTCTCTGCCTCATTTCTGTTATGCTCTTCTCTTGCCATCAGTTGTCTGCTTATCTTCTTCATTCTGTTTTCTGCCCCATTCATTGAGGCTTCTCTGCCACTGTTCCTGGAATCCTAGTACTTTTCTCTCTCTCTCTAGAATGCCCTGCAGTATTCTCTGTAGACTTGGATTGGTGGTTGCAAATTTCCCAAATTCCTTTTTGTCTTGGAAACATCTTGTTTCTCCATTAATTTCTAGAGACACTTTAGCAGGATATATCAATCTGGGATGGATGTTATTTTCTTTCAGGAGTTGTAATATTTGGCTCCAGGCTCTTCTTGACTTGATTGGTTGTGTCGAGAAGTCTGCCATTTTTTGATGGGTCTTCCTTTATAGGTTATCTGTTTCTTGTCTCTAACAGCTTTTAATATTCTGTTCTTATACTGAATTTCTGAGATCTTGATTATTATATGCCTGAGTGTAGATGTGTTTTAGTTGTAGGTGACTGGAGTTCTGTATGCCTCATACATCTAAATATCATTTCCTTTTCTTAAGTTTGGGAAGTTTTCCTTAATTATTTCTGTGAATAGCCTTTGCAGTTCCTTTGTTTGTACCCCTGCTTCTTCATTCACATTCTTTGTTCTCAAGTTATAGATCCTCTTGTCATCTTCTAGCCTTTGTATTATTACTGCTTGTTTCCTTGTTGTTTTTTAAAAATTTTCCCTTTCATAACCCCATTTTGCAAAATTGTCCTCCAGTTTGGATAATCTACCCTTAGTTTCTTTTAAGCTGATTTGCCATCTTTCCATAGAGTTTTTAATTTCCTGGTAATCTCTTTGAATCTGCTTCATGTATTCTATATATTTTTATATTCTTCATCAAATGATTCTCTCCTTTGAGTTCCTCCCTTCTTCCATCTGTGTCTGTTTGAGGGGTGCTTAGCATCTCTTTTATTAATCTTCTTATATCTTGCTTTATTTGGCTAAATATTTCACTTTTGAACTCGTCTATGAGGTCTCGAATATATCTCTTTATGTCTGCTGGCACCGTGTCTGATATTGCGTGTTTGCTGTTCTCATGCTCCTTTGTATTTACCTGTCCTGGGTCAGTGTTCTCAGGATTGGGACCTGGTACTTTTTGTTTTGCTTCCTCTTCCCATCTTTTTTGCTTCTTCCAGGAGGCTCCAGTTTCTTTGTTGGTTACTATTCTTCTGAAGCACGCTGGCTTGATGATCCTTCTTACTGCTGTGTGCTAGTGAGCTGCAGACAGGGACAGCATATGCTGGCCCCTCCCCTGTGGATCAGTCAAGCTGCTGTGGCCTGCACTGTATTGCTTTGCACCACCTCCCCTCTGAGTCAGTCAAGCTTCTGAGGCTTCACTGGGTTAGTGTGGTTAGTGTGCACCACTGTAGAGACTTGATTTCAGATAACCTATTGGGACTCAGCCAGGTCACTTGACCCAGGCCTAGCTCACTCCACCATTCCTGTTTGGGAAGGGAACAACTGACTGAAGTCACTGCTGCCCCTTGTAATTGCCAGTCCTTCCCTGTCTCAGAATGTCATCCGCCAGAGTCCCCCTTTCTATGGAATGGCTCCACTCCCATCACTCACCACAGGTCGATGTAGGCACCCTGCCAACTCAGCTCTCAGTTCGACTCGCCAACCCCTGAACGCAATGTAACTGGGCCTCCAGTGAGTCGAAGCGGCGGGACCTCAGACAGCTTGGCAAGTCTCAGTGGGACGTCAGATGGTTGGCAAGTCGCCTGCTGCAGCGGGAACACTGAACCTTTAGCTGTTCCAATAATAGCACCCGGACTGTATGTTTCATTGGTTCTTCTCACCTTAATTTCTTCTTGGGATGAGAGAATTCATCTCCCTCTGTTTGGGGCTCCCCACTCTGTATTATGTTGAATTCTAAGTTGACTATCTCAGGGAGCCTCTGTAGCCAGTTGTTATCTATCTGCCATCTTTTTTTCAAGGCTCTGTGCCTGCACCTTTTTCCTAAATCCACTATTCTGTTCCACTGATCCACAGGTGTGTCTCTGTGCCAGTGTGATGTTGTTTTTATTATCATAGTTTTGTAATATAATTTAAAGTCTGGGATTGTGATTCCTTCTACTCTGCTTTTGTTACCCTGGATTGTTTTTCCTATTCTGGGTCTCTTTGTGTAT